CACATTTAAAGTAAATAGAACTATTTCATATTGACCTTGTTGCCCAACTGTAACTGACCCATGGGATGTTTATCTAAATATAGAGGCAGAAGGTTTTCCCAGAGGCTGCCTGCCAAGCTGTATTCTTGCTGTGAGCTGAAGTGCAACTGGATTCAGTCTTGGTACCCCTACAGTGGTCCATCATCGCAGTGTGCATTTCAGCAAGACGTAAACCACTCTAAAGGCACTGCACAGCAGACGGCCCTGAACTCTGACCTCTGCGGAGAAATGTGTGATCTGGAGGCTATGTCAGGACCCATAAACGTGTACTCAGACTATTTAGTATTTCTATAAAGCTGGAGCTCTTGTGAGAGAAAGATTAGAAAAACGAAGTAGATCAAATTGATGTTCACATATCCTGATTGGATAGGAAGTCTGAATTAGACCCGCCCAGTCTGGTAAATTCCTGCTTCTTTCAAACAAACCAAACACTGGCTCTAGATACGGATGTTTGCACTGAAGTTTCTCCTTGGTGTTTGGAAGGGGAAGGAGAAGCGAGGGAGTTGCAATCTGCAACTACTTCACTAGATGCCACTAAATCCTACACACTGGTATAAAGAATAAGGCAAGAATATTCCATATTCCAAATCCTATGGCAAGACTAAAACCAACAATGTTTCTCAGTACTTTCTTCCCTACCGTGTATGTGGCACTCAGTCCCAAGCTCTGTTAATCTGAAAAAAGGGCTCACAAATAAATAGTTGCATTTTTTTTAAAGGCTCAGTAATTTCCTAAAACAGTTGTAGAAACCGTCAAAATATAGAAAATCACCAGCCCTATCCTTTCAGCTACAGGCAGTGAAGTATTATGAGTGGCTGTATAAGAAAGGTCCTAACTAATACAACTGTATGTGTTTTAAGGGCAAAGCTACAGACCCAAATGACCTCAGCAATTAGAGTGGAGTAAAGCTGAAATGAATCATGACCTTTACAAGCATTTAATGACCCAGAGGGGCACTTAAACATAACAAAATAATGACACCAATCTAGAGACAATTACACTGCTCTTCAGGAAAGACATTTCTCTCAGAGCACATGCTTTATTGTCAAATATGGTTCTCGGCTATGTACAAAATAGCATCCATTCTAAAATATAAGCATATGAACTTCAACAGTACAGTTAGTGGAACTATGACTGACATGCCTTGTTTCTGTTTTCAGATGCACTTCTGTCTTAACATCCACCATACTTAGTTCTTTATAAAGTTTCTGTCCTTCAAAAACATGAGCTAAAGGAGAAGGTCAACTTTGTATCTTACTGAACTCTGCAGTGGAATAAGTACCGAGCAATGACATGAAAGTACAGCCAGTCTGTTTCCGGCACAGTGATGAGCCTATCAAACTGCATTTCTTCAAACTACGCAATGAAAGCTATTTTTGTGGTGGTTCCCCACTATTTTGACTTTTTTTCTCCTGGCAGTGTATTTCAAAGAGCTTCCAGTCCAGTGATGTAGAAATGCCATAAAAATCAGGTTTGAAAAAAAGAAGGTGTTTGACCTTGAGGCTTGATACTGGCTGCTGTCCTCAGAGGACTGTCTGGGTTCTGGCTGTTCCTGCACGCACATACTGTAGGTGTGTGTGTATGCGCATGTGTGGGTTCATGGGGCTGTCTGACAGAGAGAAAGAGTGCAAGAACAAAAAGAAAGGGAAACACTTTTTTGCATTTAAAGGACCATGCAACCAGTCTGGCTTTCATTCATTGACCAATATTGAAATTGTGGCCTAAATTGCAATTCATTTCTATAAATTTAATTGAAGGCCTTATTGGGTGTCTGCGAAGTATTCAACACTTAAAAAAAAAAGAAATGGAAAACAGGGGGAATGATGCGCTACATTACAACAACAAGCTAAGCACTCATTTAGAGAAAAGACAACTTACAGGTAAATTTAGCAAGTTTTAGCTAGCTAAAAAATACAACATTTGCTTGTGTTTGATATTACATTAGTGTCTGTAAGTGGTATTGCTGGTCAATAGTTTTCAAAAATAGTTGGCAGCTCTACACTTTAGCTGCTTTAGCTAACGTTAGCTACTCACTTCCGAATTATACAGATGGATGTTTTTTACTAAACAAAAGCGTGTGACCCGCTCAGTATAGATACAGCCACCGTCATGCAGAGGACATATTAACCTCAAGTTCCCCCATGCCATGCTACAATTCATTATTTTCTTGTGACCACAGTGAGCTTTAATTAGCTACAGCTAACAACATAAGCTACAGTTGCACTAAAAATAAAAAAGGTCACTTTTACATTTTAAGACATTAATAATGAATAATAATAATAATAAATGCTGAATCACAACTCTTGGGATTTAAAATTGTGATTTATATCTAAACCCAATTAATTGTTCAGCTCTACATTTAACCTGTGCTTGGACAGTGCTACCATATGTTCCACTTCCCCCTCTGTAGCATCATTTGCTGTCTTGTCTTTAATGAAAATGTTAAACATTATGGAAGGAATTGTTGACCAGGTGGTTTATGTGAAATGCAATGTAGAGGGCAGTAAAGCGTTCTGATATCCATGCACTTGTGTATTGTAATGCTGATTAATCAAACTTAATGTGGTATGTTACAGGAGTAATGTCACCTTTTATTTAAAAAAAAATAGGGTCTGACTGAAATGCTCTTTCAAGCTTTCGTAGATACTGGAACATTGTGCATGCAAAAGCAGAGAAAGCAAAACAAGGAATACAAAGAGATGCGTGTGTGAGAGAAGCGCGTGTGACGATGACGAGGGAAAACAGTCAGACACAGAGGGAGCGACTGGCAGCTGAAGAGTAATCGACAAAACCCGACAGAGAAAGAAAGGGATCCTGTGGCGTGCTGTCAGAATGACTCTGCAGTTACTGTGTCTGCTGTTTGTCTATAAATGTGTGTTTGTTTGTGTGGTTTCAGCTGAATGTAATGTGTCTTACCTTTATACACCCCAAAATGGAGGCAGCCATAAAAAAGGCAGTTGCTCTCACAAACACACTTGCACTCGATCCAGTGTGCCACGCTTGTTAATTATTCATGATATCCACCATTACACTCATATTGGCCCTGCACCAAATATATGCGCCCTGATTTCCCCTGAATGCATTTGAAAGAAAAGAGGTTTTCAGCTAGAGTGTAAATTACTGCACCTCTTTATAACAGTGGCACCTTTCAGCTATACAATAAACAGTCATGTTGTGTGTGTCTCATTATGAGTTAGTAATACATCTACACTGTCTACCTCTCCCCCTGGTATTTCAGGACCATGGACAGATACACTCTTTATACATGGGGCAGCAGGCTAACTCATGGTCACATTGTACTTGACCCCAGTGTTGTGTTATAAAAAGAGTTATACAGATCGAGATAGTAGTTCCAATATCTGATAAGTATCAATAAATATTTAGAGCTGGTGGAAAGGGAAGGTTAATGCTAATGCTAACTAGGTTCCTTTACCCAAATATTGTACTATTTCCATTTTAGATGCTTTATACTGCTCTAAATATTGTAGGCTACTTATTTCTCCACAACATTTATCTGACAGATTATTAATTATCAATTACTTTGAAGATCAATATTTACATTCGAAATCTGAGTTAATAATGCATTGTTATAGAAAACACCACCAAACACAACTAAAGCACAACTTTTACCAAATTCTGTTAAACCACATAATCTTCCTTTTACAGACTTTCAGCCAAATGTCAGTCATCAGAGCATGAAGTTTTACTGTAAAATTAAAAAGGGCATTTACTATACACAAATTAGTCAGCGTAGTAATGACAAATCAGAGCATTGTGGTCAAGTGGTAAAGATTTTCAGAGTTACTGTCACCAAAATCACATAAAATGTCTTCTATAAAAAACTTTAAAAGAAAATGCCTTTTATACAATTCGGATACTTTGACATTAGAAAATTGTTAAAACCTAGCCATGGGAGAGGGGACTTGAGGGTTTTATTGAAGAAAAAAAGGATTAAACGTATGAAAGATGGTCCCAGGTCTCTAAAGAGCTGAGGTATGTGCTTCGATATAACTGCTTCTTCCACCACTGGTGGTACGGAGCTCCACATAATACAACCACCATTTGTTAGTTCAATGGTCTATATATTTATATAATTTAGTTGATAACATACTTGTATTGTTATAATAAAAATGTATGATATGTATGTATTATATGCTACTCACTGGGACTTAATGGAGCCAGCAGTAGAAATGTTCCCTTTATTGTTCCCTTGATGTTTTTTATTATACCGCAGCACTTAAGCAGCTAAGGAACTCCACTGCTTCCCCTGCCGCTAATAGTATTATTAAACATGCATTTTATTTATAGTATATATCAATAGTGTGTGAGTGTGTAATGTGTTGGTATGTGTGCCTCAGCAGGTGGCGCACGTGCATCGATCCTTTAAGACATGTCCGCCGAAAGCAGGCGTTGCCTTGGGAACCCCAAATGCTGTCGTCCTCTCCTTGCGTAACCATGGTGATGGTCCCTTCAGCGACATGTTGTGTCTACTTGCCTTACTGTCAAAATTTGTACACAACACACACACTCACAGGCTGGAGAGGCCGTATTCGGGAAGCGGGACCTGTTTGATGGTTGAACAGCTGACAGAGTGACAGACAGACAGATGCAGATGCAGGTGCAGCTTGCAGTCTGGCTCACTATGTGGAGCCTGCAGGACCCTGTGTGTAGATCATTCATCCTAGGTCTGGGTTTCAATCTTTAATTTATTCCAGAGGTGTCATACCTGGAAATGTATGTTGGGGATGAAAGGCTTGCAGCACAACGTACACCCACAACGTACAGTGGGCCACAGTATATGGCAAATAAATAAAAATATATTATCTATATATTATCAGTCATCTATTAATGTTCCATGCTGGAGAATGTATACCTGTGGTGCTTGTTATTCCAGAATAATGAGCTAGTCCATGTTTGTTTTTTGGCCATGAAGGCAATAACGCTCTTTTTTTCTCCTTTAGGTCCAGGGATGATGTCATCAATGATGTCATCAGGGGGACGCCAAGACCCACAAGGACAGCCTGCCTTCAGCTCTGACTACCTGTCTGGTGAGGGTGGAGGGAGTGTTCATTGTTTATCACATGGTTTCCACACTTTAGTATAGAAGATGTTTGCACAGAGTCCCAAGGGAGCTCTAGTGCCCCCTCTAGGTCAGTCCCAAAATAACACTTACCAGTCATAACACTTTGGGGCACAATGTAAGGATGTTGGGCCTCATCTAGCAGCATTCTCTTAAATTTCTCTTATAGTTTCTCTTGGTTTTCTTTTCTGAAAATATGAAAGAAGTGAACTGCAGATACACCTAACCTTCTTAATCATGCCAATCTGCTCTAATTTCCTTTCTTACCTAAGAGAAGACTCCCAGAAATCAATGGGTACTAACAAAATAAGAACAAATTGTGGATATGAAGAATAAGAGGAACGTTGTTAGTACATCGCTTCCTGCATGACGTCACATTATTCAGGTGGTCACTGTGAATACCAAAGCAAGCAGCGTTTTCTTACATAATCCACAAATGTATGTCACATTTATTTATAAATTCATCATAATACGTTTCCACCAGTCTTTATTACATTTTCTCTTTGTTGCTCTGCCAACATGCTCATAGGCCTTGTTTTCTTTTTACTTGTCATAGCAGGAAAAGCACAGGTGTTACCAATAACATTGATGAAGTGTGACAATGAGCCAGCATGCACAAAGACATTACCAAACTGAAGCAGCTAAATGGGATTCAGCCATCACGTCTGCAGTTGCTTTGCCCATTTCGATCCTCATCTGCCCCTCATCTCTCCTGATCATCCACCTCTTTCTGCCACTACTCCCGCCACTCCTCCCACTCATTTTAACTCTGTATCTGGCTCTCTGCCCCCACCGTCCTTTCTCTGTTTCTTTTTGTCTGTCTCTCTGTCTCTCTGTGTCTCTCTCAGGTCCTATGATGGGGGGGAGGACAGATCAGTGGAGCCTGAACAAGACAAAGGACAGCAGCATGCCTGACTCATTTCTAGGTCCACTTTACTTTTTCACCTCCTGTGTCCCTTTTTTACCTCTGACCACACACTCAGAGGGAGGTTATATTATCCCTCCTCTCTGTTTGTATGAATTGAGTCATTTGGCTGAAATTGGTGCTTCAAATTCGGCTCAAACCTCTTGTTTTAGCTGTAGATGTTTTGTTGTCATGTTCATGTGCTCATAAAACAGTTCATTATGTAGTGACACAGAAGTAAAAGTAAAGTATTTTGAGCAAAAATCAACCTGGGAGGTAAACCTTGATGCAAGCTGCTGCTTTGTAGTTGTTCAGCACTGTTCGATGTTTACGGACCACTAGTCTCAAACTCGTACACAGTGTATTTATGTTGATCATTGCTTTAGCTTCTTTCTCTGTCTTTACCAGACCTTTATTAATATCTCAGATGTCTAAATACCTTTTCATACCACACACTCCTTTTGTTTTCTTTGTTGTCTGCTTGCAGGGCTGGAATAAACAATGTTTCTCCGATGCCAATAAATATCACAATATGGCAGATGTATGCAAAATAAACATTCAATGCAAGTAAAACTTTAACAATTAGTTTTCTTATTCATTGAAATTCATTAATTATTCATCTGGAGAACATGTTTTGTAAATTATAACACCAAATGATATTCAATAATATTAAACTATTAGCCAGCCCTGCGTTTTGAGTTTTTGCACTGAAGTAACATCTGGTGTATATGATGAATGTAGATTTTCATACATTCATGCTGCCTCAAGTATTTTGATCATGCTGCTGGGTGATGTTTTGGGACACTCTCACTACCCATACAGCTAACTCTGTGTGTATTCTCGGTTATCATTATCATTGCTACTGCTCTGGAATTTTGTGTGTCATGTTAGTTAGCCAGAGCTAACAGGCATATTAATGTGCTTTTAAAGTGGTATTTGGACTGGTTCCCAGCACATTTCTTTCTTTTCTAAATACTGAAAATAATAATTAAGCTATCATGACTAAAATTGTTGCAATCGCCCTTTTCTTCAAATCCTCAAATTCTATTTAGCTGTTAAATGCTTAAATTTATCAATAACAGTTATTGTTATTGCTGTAACTATTATAGTATATACTATATCAACTATAGTACATTATTTTATTTACTTTATTTTTATAAATTCTGGTTATGGACCTGGTCTCGGCACTATTATTCCTTACTGTACAGTATATCCATTTTTTCAAAATAAAACACAGCGTTATGTATATAGTGTGTATAGAAGCAGTATGTACAATTTTTATCATGCCAGTTGACTGTTTGTGATGTATCTCTATATTCTGTCTCCATTAGGCTTCTCTCAGTCTGGGATGGGAGGGACCATGGGGTCCACCCTGCCACCCTTCCAGACCAGTATGAGCTCGGCTCTCGGCCAGACTGGAATGGGGTCAGCTATGGACACCCAGAAGAGTTCTGGCTTGTTTGGTGTGGAAAACAAAACCAGCAGTAACAGCGGTGGAAACAGTCCGTTTAAAACCAGCGATCTGTTTTCTTCTGGTGGCCCGGGAATCCACTCTACGGATCATTCCACAGGTATTAGAAAAAGGGTTGGTTGCATGTGTTACTGTGTGCTGGGGGCAGCAGGGGCAGGCGGAGGCAGGAGAATGAGGAGAGAGGAGGAAGTTACTGGGTAGGTTTTGGGATTCACAACCTTTTTTAGACAAAATCTCAGTTTAATAAGTTTACGTGACACTGGGAAAATACTGAGCAGCATGCATGTTTTAAAGAGGGTTGGTTGGATTTGTTGAGCCCTTGCTGAAATTGAAAAATTTAAATCCTGGTCATATCTTCAATTGAATTTAATAAAACCTAATAAAACTTATGTTATGCCTATCTTGGTTCTACTGTACTAGCCTACTAGGAAGTTGGCATGGGTTTCAGTAGCAGGGCAGCAGGGGCGGGTGGTGACAGAAGAAGCATAACATCCTGATCTCACAGGACCTGCTTTCAGCAGCAGAGGGCAGCCTTTTCTAGTTGTTTTCACTGTAGGTGGAACAGTTCCAGCTCTCTTTATCTACTGACAAACAGACAGATGGGATGTATGCAGTGACCCTTTTAAATACTCAACACAGGACAACTCATAATTGTATATCTTTACTGCAGTCTGATGTAAAAACAAAAAAGCTGCTTATATGCATCTTACTGCTCCCCATGAAATCAGTATTTGTCTTTTATTGTGAATTGTTAATGTTCATGATAATCAATAACTGCTCGAGTGAATTACATTTGAGCATTAGCTGAATTTGTAGTTGCTGAGCAACAAAAACACAAGCCCACGGGAGGATTTGGCATCAAAGATAGAGCAGCACACCATCCCTTCTGCAGCCTTCCTTTGTAATTGTGCCCAAAAGCTACATTTCAGATTCTGTAATAGAGAAATGCATGCAGTGCTGCAAAAAGTTATTTCATCATGTGAACATAATTTTACCTTCAGTCAGACCCCAAAGTCCTCAACTGAACTTTTAAAATGACTCAGCATCTGAGCATCTTATTAAACATTTATTTGTATCTCTTGTATCCCTTCTGTTTTGCTCAAGAACTAAAGATAGCCCCGCTAGCTTAAAGCCCACTAACGGTACAGGCTGGTTGTTATGCAACAGTTGTTATTCTAGTCCAGTCATGATGCATCAGTAACACAGATGACAATGCACTGCAGAAAGTTTACCAGACTCCGTCTAGAAACCAGGGGTGAGTTAAGGAAAGATTGTCTGTTACCCCAAATGATGTTGTCACCCAACCGTAGCACCATTAATGGCTGCTGTAATGGCTGCCACACATTTCACCCGGCCCATAGGATGTAAACTGTATTTGTTTGACCATAAAAATAACTTCCTACTACACATTAAATTTTTAGGGAAGAGACTATAGTGATGTAACCACATGCTGCTATTTTAAAATTCTGTGTTAAGCTAACCGCTCCGTCACACAGAATACCTGCAGACATTCTGTAATTGTGCCAATCCTGTTACATCATTCAGATGACAACAATTGCTTTGACAAAGCAAACCCAATCTTTGATCTTTGTTCTTTGTTCAATATTTTGTGAAATATGGAGCCTGTAGTCTGTTACCACTGCGAGCTGTGCAGTCTTTAATGTATCGACGGGTTTCTGAGCCGTCTCATCAGTGAGTGGCAGAAAACAAGCCGAAATGAGAGAGAGCTTCTGTGGAGAACAAAATGAAAAGTTGTTTTTGTGCCTTAAACTGCACAAATCACTAAATGAATGCATGGAAAATGTTCATTATCTCAGGATGGAAATCTCCTGGTTATCTCAGCAGAGTTAAAGTGTCTCACTAAGGCCTGATAGCATACACGATACCAGACTTTAATGAAAAAAGGCCTATTACACCCATCCAAAAGCAATGTGATGCCACTGACATTAAAATCCCCTTTGTCACAGTTGCTTTTGCACATCATGTTAGTAAAGACATCTACACCACGATTGCAAGGTTTTTCTTCAGTAAAACATAGCTGTTTTAATGGTTTTCTAATTTCTCAAGCTTTTCTTAGGGTAGCTGAGTATGAGTAGTTCATTCCTGTTGGCAGGCAGAAAGAAACATCATCAGTCATAGCAAGTTACGTATTTCTGCTTCTTCCTGGCTCATGTCACTGGGTATCTAATGAAGCAAAGTTACTGGTTTCAAAGAGGGGGTCTATCTCTAGTCCAGTTTGGCCTTTTTCCATCATTTTGTGAGTGTCTGTGATCTGATTTTACTCTGCACACGGTGTGAGTCTGTGAACAGCTACAGTGAACTAAACTGGCTGAGACGTTGGTACAGCTCACTGTAGATGCTCCTTCTTGTTCCATTACTCCCTGACATATTTCAAACTCATCCGCTGTCAAAAACTTTTGAAAATGACCGCATTTCCTGTGACTACTACTTCATAATAAAAGTTGACTAGTGTTTTGCCAGTTGAATGCTTTTAATGTATAGCTGCAGCAGAAGGAGATGTCCAGTTGCGTTAGCAGTAACTTAATACTACCTTTCGCCGGGTATTTCGCCACAGAAGCCCAGTTTATAATATTCTAAATATACAAATATTCAAATGCTTTAATCAGTGGCCATTCTGCAGGCTGGATGGGAAGCTTTGGCGTGTCAGATGTGGCCTGCGGGCTACCAGTTGAACCACCCTTATTATACGAAAAATAGGATTTTGTGGAACTACCAGACTTTTGCAGGACACTAATGATACATTTACCAAGCAGCTATAGCTCTGTCTGTGTTACCTGTTCTCGAACTATTAACATTAAAGTCATCTACACACCTGTTCTTCTGTCTGTACATGTGCCAGTGGGAGTCAGGGAGATGAAACCCTGCATGAAGAATTTGCATAGGCAGTGTGTTTGAGGCAGCCAGTACTCCAACATTAATGTTTCTCTTGGCAGTTTGCCTGGCTCCAGATTAAGATGTACTCCCATTAAATACCTTATCACATTAAATATAGATCATAATGCCACGGCCTCGTCTCTTTTTAGAGCTGTTTATAGCCGGGGAAGCATCGGAGGCCAAAGGGAGAAAATAGCAACTGCAATCAATTTTAAAAGTCCAGGCAAAGGTGCCAGATTTAGAGGGGAATGCACCTTTTTCTGGATTCACATTAATATTCAGTGACGTAAGAGAGTGAGAGGAAAAGAGGAGATGGGAGGATGAAAATTGAGATGGAGGAATAATAATTTAGACAGGAAGAGAACATGATAAGCAGACTGAGAGGGGTGTGTAGGTCAGAGTTTGATTTATATGGTCTATCCCTCTATCTGTCTGTTTCTATCTGTCTGTTCATCTTCCTGTCTCTCATTTTCTCTGAGCTGATAAAGTGCTTGGCAGAAATAATTGAAAAATATGACTTCAGAGGAAAAAGCCATGGCTAACTGTGATGACTTCGCCCTCAAACAAGAGAAGATAGTGGGAACAGACAAATGAAGGGATCATTTCAGTGCAAGCTGAATTCCTTTTGTTGTTCGTTAAAGCTTGCATGTGCAGTTTGTCATAGTTTTGTGATTCTACAACACATTCCATATCTATATTGTTTTATGTGTCATTGTGGATCATTTTATTTTTCTGCATGTGTGACGATCCATTTATTACCATGATTCTTCAGGCTTGCATGCATTTAGTTTTAATCATGCATGCTATGTGAAATGTGCTTGATTCATTTACCTGAAATTGCTGCAGATCTCTGTTGCTCCCAGTGTGCTTGTTTTGTTCTATGTGTGTGCCTGCTCCCCACACAAGACCAGCTTTGCCCCCTGGATAATGATGATGATGATGATGGTAATGATGATGATGATGATCTTGTTTAAAAGAGGTAAATCAGATTTATTTTTTCAGAAAGAGAGAATCCAACAATGCATTAATTTGACTAAAAGGTGCTATCCATCTGTCCATTCCACACGATGCACACGACACAGAACATTCAGAATTGAGAATATGACCTTGATGATCTTTATCTTTATATCCTCCCATTTTACTGTATTCATTGTGATTGATTATTGGAATTAAACAGTAATGATCAAAAGCCATGATCTTAAAACAGTGGTAGGCCTCTTTTAAATATATAAAATGTAGTTATTGTGCTTTGGCCCTACAAAATTGCCATAATTTGTCACATTTTTAGTAAAAACACTGGTTTATATGAAATGTAAATTTAATTCAAACCAGTTTCACCCTGGCAGATATGGGAGACAGCCATGTTGCAACTGTGACACAACCAAGCAGATAAATCAGAGCAAATTCTTATCACCCGATGCCCTGTGCTGAACCATTATCTTGCTGTAAAACAGCACCTATAAATATCTGTCTTAATATAAATTGATTATTTACATTCAATCTAATGTAGCAGCACCATAGAAACTCTGTAACAGGTGAGTAAAGTACAGGTTGAATTGTATTTATAAAAGCAGGCACCATCACATACATCGTATTTTATGAAATTTCAAAAAGGTTGTGCCAAAGGAGCCTAAAAGCAGTCAGACTATGGTTACTAGGGCTGGAAACACCCTGGGAAGAAAACGTTATGGCCTTTCTTGCATATTGTCTGCACAAGCAGCATGCAACAATGCAAAGGCCAGGGTAAGAGTGCTTATTGGTAAATGTGTCATCCATAACACATGTTCAGTATCATATGTTATGCATAAAATGCAAATATTGCCAAATGCAGTACTTCTATCATAGTATCTACTATGATATAGTACTAGCTTATGGTTGCTACCCCTACCCAGCCCTCATCAGGTCTCAGTAGGGGCACTACGATGACAGTTGTCAAGTTTCTCAGAAAGACTCTGAAAGTGTCAAACAATGACACTAGCAGAGATGATATTTCTCCATTCTGATATGCAACTAATTTAACAATACATGAACACCACAACCTTGTTTTTAGTCTTGTTCTTTGTCAGTATTTGAGGCAATACAAGAAGAATTATGAAGGATTTTAAAATATATCTCCCTGGATCACTGCCGTCACACTAGTGACTTTAGATTAGCAATGAACTGTAGTATTATCAGGAATCTAGGTAGTCAGATAATGGGCACGCATGGTGTATATTTTAAGCATACAGCTTGCCTTCCTATTATTGTACTCATGACTGGCTAACTGGGAAAATGTTTTGATTCAAGAGTCAGACAAACTCGTAGAAGCCTTTTATTTGAAAGCCAAACAAAAGTACCGTGAGGAGTAGCGGTTTAGCCTACTGTACCTTTGCTCAAATAATGGTCGTCTATGAGATCAAAGTTACTCCCCCTAAAAGAGGGGAACATTTTAACATTGTGCTGCCGTATCATTGTCAGACTAACAATGGATGAATTCTTCTTCCTTGTCAACACCTACCATCTACTTTAGTATAATGCTACTAGTGGCTAATGTAGCTTCTAGCCGCTAGCCTTTAGCAGAGATGAGGAGTGGGTAAACTCACTTCTTTCAAACTCCAAAATTTTTTCTTTTTCAAACTTTGCCTCAAATGACATCACTTGAGAAAGTTTACCAAACTCCGCGCAACTCCCTATGGAACCACAAACAGCTTTATACAACTTTTTTTTACATATACACAGTAGTTCTGCCCAATATCTGTAAACAGACACTGATGTGTCAAATCTGTAGAGTTCCCCTTTAAAAATAAGGAAATATTAACCTTGCAACTACCATATATTTATATATGCAAGGGACTAGATTAAACATCTCAGTAAGCACACACTTACTCTGTAAAAATACTGATACATTCACTAGAAGCGACTTAGAACCCTAACCCCAACTGTTGTCCCAACCTCAGCCTATTCATCATACATTCAGACTACATGCAAAAGCATTAAAAAATGGTGCCCATGAGTTTGTCTGACTCTAAGAAGGAACAGCTAATTCTCTAGTAACCCATCCCTTCAAAAACTGTGCATCACAAAGCAATAATCGGACCTTATGCAGTCCTTACACTCATTTGCTGCCATGAAACAGCAAGCAATTTAAACATGAACCAGTGAAAACCACCTATGGTAACCACAATCTGATGGCTTTTTGGCAGGTGATTCTCTGACACAGTATGTGATTGGTTCCTCCTCTTATAAAACCCTCCCCCCTCGGCAGCTCCCGTCCTCTCACCCAGCGGCTCAATGGACGACAGCAGTCCCACTTCCTCCAACTCCGAACCCCTCAGCCCTGAGAGAGTGGGGCTGGGGGGCGAGGCTGGCAAGCAACAGCAGAGACGTAAGAAGAAGAAGAGGAAGGGCCATGACGGGGTCTACGACTTCTTGGATAGCCAGAAGAATAACATCGGCAAATCAGACGAGCATGGGATGCAGGATAAAAGCCAAAGGGAGGTGGAGGACGATGAGGACGAGGAGGAGAACTGGGATTCATGGGAGATCAGAGAGAGTGGAGGAGGGGGTAGGGTGAAAGGCAAGAAGACTAAGAGTCGGGCAAGACTTCCAGAGGAGTGGGGAGTACCCCAACAGCCCATCTCTGCCATGCCAGCTACAGTCACACCTGCCGGTGCTATAACTGCCAGCTCTAGTCCTTCTGACTCCAAAGCTGCAAACTCCAGCCCCAGTCCTGTTTTGCCCTCTGCCCCAGCACAAATACCCACAAGTTTCACCAACCGTTCCCATGTTAGCCTTGTAACAGATTCATCTCCACGCTCTTACGAGCCGATGTGTGTAGACGATTTCCCTACGCCTGCTAAAGATGGTCAAAAAGTGAACGAAGAGAAAGTTTTAACCAGCAAACTCGAACCCAACAATAGCTCAGCAGCCAGTGCCGGCAAGAGTAGTGCAGCTGGGGATGTTAGTGGTAGTTTGGCATTGATGACAGGGGACAATCTGAGCCCAGTCTCCCAGACCTTCTCTTTCTTGGATTCAGTCCTTCAGACCCCTCCAGGCTCCACTTCTGACTCACTGACCACCACCCCTATCACCAACACCCCCTCCCTTGCTACCGCTCCCCTGACAAAGTCCACTCCAACAGACACCATCATCCCTGCTTCACAAGCCAGTTCTGTTTCCAACCCGTTCAAGAGCACTCCAGAACTTCCTCCTACTTCCGCATTGTCCACCAACCCATCACTCTTTCCTGCCACAATCACACACGCTCCAACATTTGCTGTTGGATCAGCCCTCAACGTTGATGCAAAGCCTTTTGTCCCCTCAGCCACACTCATAGCCTCCACAGCCGCACCCAGTGCGACTGCAGCCACTCCTGTTGTTAGTACAGCAGCAGCCTCCACAGGGACCGCTGCTCCTGCGTCCACTGCCACCTCAGCCACGCCCCTTAGTTCCTCACCTTCCCCCTGTAAGAATGAAGCCACTACCACATCACCACCAGACACTGCCCCCAAAAATATAGCCACGCCCATTAGCCCAGCAACGGCCACCCCCCCTCCCTCCAACACCCC